TTCAGACAAACTCCACGCTTGTGGCCTTTCTCCATTAATTAATAACTTTTTGTACAATTTGCTGTCAGAGAAACATATGAGCTTTCCTCATGGAAACTCTACAGCTTCTCGATTTAGTTACATGGGTCTCCCCCAGGGCTCATGTTTAAGCCCCCTTTTGTATAATTTCTACGTCAGAGAAATTGACAATTGTCTAAGTGACAACTGCAAGTTGAGACAACTTGCAGATGACGGCGTAGTGTCTATGACAGGGCCCAAAGGGGTCGACCTGCAAGGACCCTTACAGGATATCTTAGACAATTTGTCTACTTGGGCTATTCAGCTAGGTATCGAATTCTCCACGGAGAAAACTGAGTTGGTCGTTTTTTCTAGGAAGCATAGCCCAGTACAACCAAATCTTCAACTTTTGGGTAAACCGATCACTCATTCTATGTCCTTCAAATATCTTGGGGTCTGGTTCGATTCAAAATGCACCTGGAGATCCCACATTGAGTATCTGAGACGAAAATGCCAACAAAGGATCAATTTTCTCCGAACAATTACCGGAACGTGGTGGGGAGCCCATCCGCAAGATCTTCTACCGTTGTACCAGACAACGATTTTATCGGTTTTAGAATACGGTAGTTTTTGTTTCCAGTCGGCGGCTAAAACTCACATCATCAAACTGGAACGTATCCAGTATCGTTGTCTTCGTATCGCGTTAGGATGCATGCACTCGACTCATACGATGAGTCTAGAGGTGTTGGCGGGCATGTTGCCACTATCGGATCGGTTCTCGGAATTGTCCCTCAGGCTCCTCACCCGTTGCGAAGTTATGAACCCACTGGTAATCGAAAACTTTGAAAAGCTTCTTGAGCTGAACCCTCAAACTCGTTTTATGTCATTGTACTACGTGTACATAACACAGGATGTCAGCCCTTCACAGCATAATCCTCATCGTGTATGCTTCTCCGACTTCGGCAATTCAGTTAGTTTTGATTTATCTATGACGCGGGAGATTCGTGGGATCCCAGAACATCATCGTTCCATGATTGTTCCGTCAATTTACGCTGCAAAGTTTGGCCAAGTTGATTCCGCAAGATCGTTCTTCACAGATGGATCACTAATAGAGTCGTCCGCTGGTTTTGGTATTTTTAACGAATTTCATAGCGCCTCTCGAATGCTTCAAGCTCCTTGTTCCGTATATGTTGCTGAGCTGGCGGCAATACATTATACGCTAGAAACGATCGCCTCACTTGCACCAGATCATTATTTTATTTTTACGGATAGTCTCAGTTCTGTCGAGGCTATTCGCTCTATGAGGCCGGTAAAGCACTCCTCGTATTTTCTCATGAAAATACGAGAGCTTTTAAGTGCTTTATCTTTAAGATCTTTTGTCATCACCTTTGCATGGGTCCCATCTCATTGCTCGATTCCGGGCAATGAGATGGCTGACTCACTTGCTAAGGTGGGCGCTATGGAAGGCGATATTTACGATCGACAAATCGCCTACGATGAATTTTTCTTCATTTATCGTCAACAGTCACTCGTCAGCTGGCAGAATAAGTGGAGTGAAGGGAGTTTGGGACGATGGCTATATTCAATCATCCCTAAGGTGTCGAAGAGTTCTTGGTTCAAGGGGTTGGATGTGGGTCGAGACTTCATTCGTATGATATCTCGCCTCATGTCCAATCACTATTCGTTAAACGCTCACTTGTTCCGTGTTGGGCTGGAGGACAGCAATCTCTGTGAATGTGGACAAGGTTACCAGGACGCAGATCACATTATTTGGTCTTGAGCTGAGCATCGTGGAGTCAGATCTGAACTGTACGATTCCCTTCGGGCTCGAGGTAGACAACCTAATGTTCCAGTTCGGGATATTTTGGCTAGAGAGAATTAGTTCATGTTTTAGGATTAATTAAATATTTGTATCGTAAACCACATTTCAAACCTCCCTCTCCCTTTTCCCATCCAAAAAAAATTGTAAATCCCCACTAACCTCGAGACAACCGCGAGTATCCGGTCCAGCTCCTTTAACTTTAAATAAGAAATCAATAATGTATAACAAAAATGATAACTCGGCTCTGTAAAGTTTATTCGATTGAGCCTGTACAAATAAAGTAATTAATAAAAAAAAAATCGTCGCATAGGTCATAGATGATGGTTGAGCGGTTGTCATCGTACAGCTCTCCCCAGCCTGTACCGTGAGAATTAAAATCCCCTAAGATCAACCGTGGCTCAGGTAGCACTGAGCAGATGTCAGATAGCGCTCGCCGAGAAACAGCCGTTCTCGGAGGGATGTATAACGAGGCAATACTGAAGGTTTTACCTCTAATATTCACCTGACTTGCGACAATTTCAATACCTGACACTGGAGGAAGGTCGATTCTGTAGAATGAGTGTTGTTTGTTGACCCCTAGGAGCACCCCACCGTACGAATCTGCACGATCGAGACGGATAATGTTGTAGTCGTGAAGAGAAAGGTTAACATCTGGAGAGAGCCATGTTTCGCAGAGAGCAAACGCATCACAGTGTATGTTATGCAGTAAAAATTTGAATATGTCTAGTTTTGGTAAAATGCTTCTACAATTCCATTGAAGGAGAGATACCGTATCATTTTTTGGCAAATTATCCATCGAAGGATACGAATGAAGCAAGGAACACTTGGAAGCAAATTGCTTCAGAAAAGGTTTCACGATTGGAAGCATCATGTTAATGATGCTCCGAAGAGGGTCAGTGATGTTGAACAGATCGAGAATGCTGTCCACAATTCCAAAAAGCGTGAACATGGCGTTCTGCTGTTCTGGTTGTGAAACTGGGACATCTGGGGTTTTAGATGTTCCCGGAAGCCCCGGAAATTCTTTGTCATAATCGACAGGCTTAAAACCCGGTGGATTGGGTTTCGGTTTATTTCCGTGACCTCTTGATTTATCCAAGGGGGCTTGGGAGTCAGTTTTTTTTAGTTTTCTGCGAGTCATTCTTGGATCGCTTCCTTGAAGGACCTTTGAAAACAAAAGGACTTCCGTCATTGCCCTCTTGTCAGTGTCGTCCTCGTCAACTGGGAGAAGATTGAACGGATTATTGTTTTCTTTTTCCGGAGTGATTTTGGGAGGAGGATTGAAAGTCTTCAAGATCTCCGCAAAGCAACGCTGAGAGCGCGGCTTCAGAGACCGTTAAAGTTTTTTTCCTTGCTGTTTATACTTCAGGCAATCTGCAAGAGGATGCGGAGTTGCCAAACAATAAACACATTTAGGAGGAGCACCACAAGCACCCTCCGCATGCTTCTCGCCGCACTGATCGCATCGTGGCTTGTTGCCGCAGAAGGCGGCGGTGTGGCCTAATTGTTTGCACTTGGTGCAGTTCATCACCCTTGGTACAAACAACCGCACAGGAAGTCGAATCCTCCCACTTCGGACATAATCCGGCAGAGTCGATCCGGAGAAAGTCACTCGAAACGAGCCAGTCAGCGAGTAGATTTTTTTTGTCCCGTCGAGGGATGCTGACTGCATTTGGGTGCAGTCAAGAATCTTGACTTCTGGAAGAACGGGGTTCTTGAAGGCACCAACCCCCCTCTTCAAGAAGTCATCGCAGGTCAAACTCGCTTCGGTTACCACTCCTTCGATTTCCACGTCATGACTGGGAATGTAAGCGCGATAAAGGGTGATACGGTCAAAATTTGGTCAATGTCAACTTGACGTATTTCTTTCAATTTTGCATTTAAAAAACCTGAACACCCCTCATTTTGAAGGTGTGTGTGTGTAGAATGTTGCTCCTATTTTGATTTTGGAATTCACTCTTCAGTTGTCAAAATGCCGTCCAAGCAAGAAGAGCAGCGTATCAAAATTTTGCTCGCGCATCGCGAAAATCCGAGCTACTCGCACGCAAAGTTGGCAAAATCGCTAAAAGTTGCCAAATCAACCGTTACAAATGTAATTAAAGTGTTTGGGGAACGTTTGTCGACAGCCAGGAAGTCTGGATCGGGGGGAAATCGAAAACCGGAAGCCGCTGAGACGACAAAGAGAGTTGCCGGTAGTTTCAAGCGAAACCCTAACCTCTCTCTCCGAGATGCCGAAAAAAAGCTGGGTGTATCGTCTACAACCGTGCATCGAGCCAAAAAACGAGCCGGACTACCCAACAAACATTGCATGCAGAATAAGAGCTTATTCAGGCAAAAATATGCTTCTTCAGCTAAAAAATGGCTTATTCAGCCATTATTCAGCTCAAATTGTTTGTTGGGTATCGACTTACAAGAAGGTAGTGACTCCAAATCGCGATGATAAACAAAATACGACGGCCAAAGCGCGATCCCGGAGGCTGTACACGACGATGCTGACGAAGTTTGACTGCGTGGTAATGGACGAAGAAACCTACGTCATAGCCGACTACAAGCAGCTTCCGGGACAGGAGTTTTATACGGCAAAAGGAAGGGGAAAGGTAGCAGATGTTTTCAAGCACATGAAACTGTCAAAGTTCGCAAAGAAATATCTGGTTTGGCAAGCCATCTGTACCTGTGGCTTGAAAAGCAGCATTTTCATAGCTTCCGGGACTGTCAACCAAGAAATTTACGTGAAAGAGTGTTTGAATAAACGTCTGCTGCCTTTCCTGAAGAAACACGGTTGTTCCGTACTGTTTTGGCCGGATTTGGCATCTTGCCATTACGGTAAAAAGGCCATGGAGTGGTACGCCGCCAACAACGTGCAGGTGGTTCCCAAGGACAAGAACCCTCCCAACACGCCAGAGCTCCGCCCAATTGAGAAATACTGGGCTATTGTCAAGCGGAACCTAAAGAAGACCAAAAAAACTGCTAAGGGCGAGCAGCAGTTCAAGGCAAACTGGCTTTCTGCGGCGAAGAAGGTGGACAAGGTGGCTGTACAAAATCTGATGGCAGGGGTCAAGCGTAAGGCCCGGCAATTCGGATTTGGAAAAGCAGTAGCCTAACTGAATATTTTTCCTGAATTTTATACTAATTGAACTTGAAAAAGAAATTTAATTTGATTTTTTAAATAAACGATTTCACCGATTTACACGCGTTTTCCCTTGACCAAATTTTTAGACGGTTTTGGCGGTGTGGGGGGAGAGGGATTAGGTGTGGTAGGGAGAAACGGGTTTGGTGGTGCGGGGGGTGACGGTGCTGGTGGTGTTGGTGGCGATGGATTAGGCGGGTTAGGATGAGATGGGATAGGCGGTACGGGCTCCGGTGCTCGCTTTCGCCTGGGCCGCTTTCGCCTGGGCCGCTTCGGGATGGTTCCGGTGTACTTCGTCACCGTGGCTGTCGTTTCCACGTCGGACAGTTCGTCTTCAGTGGGATGGGCAGGAAGGGTATTCCCCCCGCCATCACTTTTACCATCCATTGCGGGGCAACTGCCACCGCAATAGATACAAAACAACTACACACAGGGAACACATAGGGACAAGAGAAAAAGAAAAAAAAAAGTTGGAAGGGTTGTATACTAGATACGACCGCAGGGTTGGCGTTGGATAACGTCTGTTATGTGTTGTATTTAATTGTGTATATTATATTTTAGGAATATTCCTTAATAACTCTTTTGCGAAAGTTTGGTGGCCCTGAAAAGGGCCGTTTTGTTGGGCTGATGTAGTTGGGTTTGCTCTACTCTGTCGCCCTGGAGGAGCTTTGGAATGATGTTGGTAGTTCGAAGACAGACAGCATCTTCCCTTGCAGCGTTCTCACACCCCAGTATAGTCCCCAAATTTAAGTGTAACTGTGATATTCTGGATAGAAATTGTCTTCAAAACTAACTCTTTGTCGAATTATTGGTGGCCCTGAAATGGGCCGTTTTGGTTGTGGTTTTGGAATGATAGACTGAATAAATGATTATGTTTGAAAAATTTCAGTTTTTGCTCCGATCAACAACCATACGGGGCAATATGAGCACCCTAGAGTCGGTGTATAATGAGTCACGCCAAGAGTGAAGCCAAGTCTACTTATTGAACTGTCAAACCGGCTACCTATCGCGCAAAGTACACAAACATTACGATGCTATGAAAGATCCACGAAATTTATTGCAATAAAATATAAAATATAATCGAAGAAATGATCATAAACACGCAGTGAGCAATAAATTGTCATGGGATACGTTTGGTAATGATCACTTTTGAGAATTTCTACTATTTTTGGTTAAGATAATTTGACTAAATCACTGATATAATGATTTACTAAAGCCGCTATATTTTTTTCTCGCTGGAAGTCATTTGAAGTTGATGTAGAAGTCCTCTGTTGCAAAGTGAAAAGAAAGGGAATCTTTGGAAAACCGTGATGCGAGTTCAACTGTTTTTCTCTTGGCGTGACTCATTATACACCGACTCTAGAGCACCCTAGTAAAAGTTAAGGTTTTGGCAGGTTTTCACTAGAAAATAACATGCAGGAATCAAGTGAAATAGAAACATAAGTTCTTTTAGCAACAGTTACGTGTATTGCTCGCTGTAGAACCAGCGGATCAGTAAAATGTAATATAGTGAATGCGATGCTTGTTTTCTTGACTGCATATCTTATAATATTCTAGAGATTTTGAGCTAATGTTACATTTCCATTATTATCTTAGACATGTAATTGAATTTTGATACGGTTTTCATGGAGATGCATATTAGAAGCATTTTCAACAAGTATGTAAAAAAAAATAGATTGAGTTAATAGGTATTATGCCCAAACGAACGGTGGCCAATCTCGCCCCGTATGGTCTTCTTGCCCCCATCGCCTCTATTGGACTGAATTTGGAAACGCTCATGTCCAACCGGTTTTCGTTTTGGGCTGGAAATTCTCTAAAGTAACATATTTAAAAAATCTGGGAAAATCCGGAACATAATTAAAAATTCTTGAAATAAACGTAATAACATATAAGTGAATTATATCTGGGTAAGTATCTGGCAAGACGATTGAAAATCTGGAAAATCAAATAAATCAGGAATATTGGCAACGCTGTCTCGTTTCATGCCCGTAGAGACAACCGACCCATTTTCAGTATTTTGCTACCCACAGTATTTATTGTACCGTCCCTGTATTCATAATATGCTACTCGACGCAGGTATAAAACCACCCTCGACGGTCGAAATGTCATCATTCTCTGCTTGAACGTCAAGCAGTTGAGTTCGGTCTTTGCTCGCTTTGTCGAGTTGTTCGATAAATCTATAGTTTGTTACAAACGTTTGCAGATATACTGCACGTCGCGTCGTCAGTAGTGTCGGTCGCATCGCGTGATGGGAAGACAGCGCTCGGAGCCGACTTCGTGAACAAGCGGAGAAGAAGAACAGTGGTGAGGGTAGCTCGGTACCTACCTCAAATAGGTACGCTACTCTGCCCACCGATGTTGGAAATACCAACCCAGTCCCGGTGAAGCGGACGAAAAAGAGGAAGAAGAACCAAGGTCAGTCCGATGGTACGAGCGGACGTGACGATGCTACCGCGACGAACGCCAGCGACATCGGTGATTTCGGCGACGCCGTCGAAACCGAGAATTCTGCCGGCCCGAGTACGGCGAAAATCAAGCTTCCTCCACTGGTGGTGAAGGTAGTGCCACTCAAGACGCTCATTGGCGATTTCGCATCGCTGGGCATCGCAGCTGAGTACAAGATCAGCAGGATCGGCACTAAGGTGATGCTCCGGACGAAAGCGGAATACGAAATCGCAGTCAAATTCCTGAAGGATTCCAATGCGGAATACTTCACGCACGACATCCCCGGTGAAAAGCCCTTCAAGGTAGTCATCAGGGGTCTACCGGATGTTGATCCCAAGGCGATCGAAGAAGAACTCAAGGACCGGTACAAGCTGGCCCCAATCGCTGTCTTTCGGATGACGAGGCGAGACGAAAACGTGAAGACGTACCCGGATTGTCTTTTCCTGGTGCACTTCCAGAAGGGAACGGTGACGCTGAATGCGCTGCAGGCTATCCGCTCAATCTACTCCATAATCGTACGATGGGAGCCATACCGTGGAGGCCATCGCGATGTGACCCAGTGCCAACGATGTCTGAACTTTGGACACGGCACTCGCAACTGCAACATCAAGCCACGCTGTAGCAACTGCGCTCAAGAACACGCCACTTCCAACTGCCCTGCGGATGGAGCCGTGGCGTTAAAATGCGCCAACTGTGGTGGTGCTCATCAAGGTTCCGACAGACAGTGCTCCAAACGCGAGGACTTCAAACGCATCCGAAAACAGGCGGCAACTAACAACCAACCAGGACGCAAGAAGGACAAAGTCCCGGCATTTCGGACGGAGGATTTCCCGCCCCTTCGTGCTCCCCAGCAAAGGCAAGCGAATTCGCGGGTGCAACCCGCCCCCCCTCAAGAAGCTTCCGGTGATTCTGCTGGCCAAAGCTCTCCATCCCCCCCTGGATTCTGGAGACAACCAACAACGCAAAACAACAACCCCGATCTGTTCTCAGCGGATGAACTGATGGAAATTTTCATCAACATGTCCGGTGCTCTTCGTAAGTGCCGCAATAAGCCCGAACAGATCCAAGTGCTCGGTAAGTTCATCATCCAGTATGGCGTCTAAACCGCTAAGTATCGTCACCTGGAATGCTTGCTCTGTAAGAGCAAAAGAGATTGAGCTTGCCGACTTCCTCCGCAAGCACAGCATCGACGTGGGCCTTCTAACCGAGACCCATCTAAAGTCCGGTGACAGCTTCTGGTTGCCTGACCACAACATTATCCGGCTTGATCGCACCAGCTCCAGGGGGGGTGGTGTTGCGGTCGTCGTCAAGAAAGGAATAAAATACCACACTCTGTCCCATATCCGCACCACTATCATCGAGGCCCTTGGTGTGGAGGTGGAGTCGTCGACTGGATACGTCCAGTTCATCGCCGTCTACTGCCCTCGACAGTGTGCCGCCAGCAGTGGACTAGCGGCTAAATTCAAGAAGGACCTGTCCACCATCACCCGTACCGGTTCCCGCTTCGTAGTTGGAGGAGATCTGAATGCTCGCCATGAGGCCTGGCGGAACTACCAGCAGAACCAGAACGGTCGTCTCCTGTTCGACCACTCACAGCATGGGCTGTACTCCGTTTGGTTTTCGGATGAGCCAACATTTATCTCACCGGCGGGCAACCCATCGACGCTAGACCTGTTCCTGACAAATATCGGCTTGTCCAAGCCGGTAGCCTTGAACGAACTCAGTTCCGACCACCAACCGGTGGTGTCTGAGCTGGGCTGCAACGTGGCTCCTGCTTCAAGCCTGCGCAAGGACTATCATCGCGTAAACTGGGCCCAGTTTGGACGCGTGGTAGACAGGCACATCATCGACAACCCGCCGCTTGACACCGTGGAGGACATCGACCGAGCGTTGGAGGGACTCCACCAAGCCATAACCGTGGCTGACGAGGCGTGCATCCGACGAGTTCCTGTGAGGGGTAAGTTTATTGCTATTGATTCCCACACCCAACTCCTAATTCGCCTGAGAAATGTTCGTAGACGCCAGTTTCAGAGGACTGGAGATCAAGCGATGAAACGTGAAATGGCCGATCTGAACAAGGAGATTGCTTCCAGAATGGTCTCACTCCGGAACAAAAGTTTCGGGCGGCTTGTCCAGAATCTGGACGACCGCTCCAGACCATTCTGGAAAGTTGCCAAGGTCTTAAAGACGCACCCTAAACCCATTCCGCCACTAAAAGATGAAAATGATGACGATCGGCTCATAATCACCCCTCAGGAGAAAGCAAATGCGATTGGTAAGCATATTGCCAAATCGCACTTGCTTGGCTCCAACATCCAAAGTCCGCTCGAAGTTCAGGTTGAGCAATGCGTACTCAACTTTGATTCCTCCCCTTGTGCCATCCCTCCGGAGGATAGAATCACAGTTGAACAGATTTGCTCAGCGCTGAAATGCACCAAAAACATGAAGGCCCCCGGGTTTGACGGAATATTCAACCTAGTGTTGAAAAATCTCAGCATGAAGGTTCACTCTCTGCAGGCTGCTGTCTTCAACAGATGCTTGGAACTGCACTACTTTCCAAGCATCTGGAAGACAGCGAAAATCATACCTATCCGCAAACCCGGGAAGGACCCAACGCTAGCTTCAAGCTACAGACCAATCAGCCTCCTTTCAGCGCTGAGCAAATTGTTCGAGAAACTCATTCTCAATCGTTTGCTCAAGTTTGTCGAGGAAAATAACATTCTCCTTCCGGAACAGTTTGGGTTCAGAAAGGGGCACTCCACCAATCACCAGCTAGTGCGGGTGATGAATAACATCCGAAGTAACAAAGCTGTATCCAAGTCCACAGCCATGGCATTGTTAGACGTTGAGAAAGCGTTTGATAATGTCTGGCACAATGGGCTTGTATACAAGCTCTGTAACTTCAACTTTCCATTACATCTGGTTAAAATCACCCGTAGCTA